GATGGTATCTCCCCTTCTGCCCTGGCCTATTCACATTTCCGATTTCCTCCTATCACATTTTCATTGTCACCAATTTTTACTGTGCCTATTTAGATGTAGTGGGGTGTGCTCCTTTAAGTGGCATTCATGAAAACACTTCACACTCCACACTGTCGTTATCACCCCCTTCACCCTTGTGCTGGGAATGTTGACCAGAGTCTGTCATTGGTTCTAGTCCTTCCCTGTGTCCTATCAAATTCTCCTTCTTGCCGCGTCGAATCCGTCTGCTATTTCCATGGTACATGTATTTCACTCGACCCCTGCCGCCGCCCATCTGTGCTAATCGAGGCGTAAGTCGTCCATTTCCTTCACCTTGGTGACTAATTCGAAGCTACAGCCTCTGAGTAAGTCTCATGGTCATACCTATTCTACATGGACCACATCTCTTGTAAAACATACTGTCAGCTAACTAGCTCCACTCGCCGCCTCGTCTATCCGGTCTCTATTCTTAATACCAAGTATATGATTTGCCATGACCTAGTTGCTTGTGTGCCAACCCACAAATGTTGTGGTACTGTTGGCTTTGTTTGGGTTCAATGTTGAACCACAACGTTTGTGGGTTGGCACACAAGAGACTAGGGCATAGCAATTCATAGACTTGGTATTATAGATAGAAACAGTGAAAGCTAGATCTAGTTGGCTAACAATAATCGTGATTCAAGGATCACGGTTAAGATCAAACACGTCTATTGTTAGTCACATAGCTTTAGTCTTTCTTGTTTATATCTGTAATTCCATGTCCATCGCTTCCTACGTCATAGTCTTTCGGTGCCAACCCACAAATGGTGTGGTTCTACTTGTTTTGATCAGGCTCGCTGAAGACGTCTTCTCTGCTTCTGATTGTTCCTTTCTTATCCCCCTGCGATCTTTTATTCCAAAATTAAGTATATTACTTTGATCCAGTAGTCTCTTTTTGCTGATCTTACTGTTGCCTAGTCTTCTGCGAGTTCGTTTAGGAAATATGCAAAGATTTCGCTAATCCTGTCTTATTCAAGTCTCCTGTTCATTAGATCTCTCTCGGTAAGTATTTCGATGGCCTCTCGGATCTTTCATTTTCTTGTATCTTCACCAGATGCAGCCAACCTTTAGGTCAATTTCTAGTTGATGTCGTGCCCCGTTCGTGCAATGCGTTCCGCTATTTCGTTTTTTTTCGTATCCATGTTCTTGCAGAGTCTGATGTTCTTTAATTCGTAGGCCGGTTGTTTTTCCTGTTTCACCGATATACTTCTGCTCACAGTTGCCGCATTTGATGCCATAAACTCCCGAGCAATCAAATTTGTCCGTTTTCTCGTGTTGCGTCGTCAGACTTGTGAAAAGTTTTTTATTCTCCTTTGTTATCACCCTGATGTTACATTCCCATAGTAACGGTCGTAATTGTTGTCTTAGTTGTGATGAGGGCAGGATAATCCACTTTGGTCGCCCTCCAGATTCCTGATGTGATTTTCATAAAATCCAAGTTGAAATCGGCCCTTTATTACCTCTACATTTTTTTCTATAAATGCCCTGGTGTATCCGTTACTAAGGCAAATCTGTGTCAGTTTGTCCAACTCCTCGTCCCAGAACTCATTGTCCGTTAGTCGTACACTTATGATGATCAAATTCCTCAGTATTCCGATCTTCAGTCTGTAGTTATGATGGTACTGAAAATTAAGGATTATTCCCGCATATGA